GGGTGTGGAGGTGAGAATCCACCTTGATCACCAGCAGGATGAGGAGGTTCCCCAGCACGGCAAGCACATAAATCACCAGGAAGATTCCAAAGAGGGGGGTGTCCAACGCTGGTGCATGGGGAAGGCCCGTGAGAAAGAACGTTGTCACGAGGCTCCCGTTTGTCATTTCTTCTTGCATATAAGGCTAGGGGGATGTCCTGCGCTGGTGCATGGGGAAGGCCCGTGAGAAAGAACGTTGTCACGAGGCTCCCGTTTGTCATTTCTTCTTGCATATAAGGCCCTGTTCCTGTGGGAAGGAAGCAAATCTAGCATTTATTGAGAAAATATTTTGTTTGAAATGTGGCAACTTCTTTTTCTTTGATGGAGAACATAAGGACTAAATTGTCTTTTGTCTTTTAAATATTTGTTTGGTTCGAAGTGGGGCTTTGAAGAGAAATAATCACTTTCTTATCTTGGTAATGAAATCAGCCAAATGGAAAGGAGAAGTGAATTCATATAAAATCAGGCAAATTCTAAAAGGAGGGGCAAATTTTGCATCTGTTCTCTGTAGAATTAGAAAATATGGACCCAAAGTAGCAGCTATCCAATTTTGGCAAGCTTTCCCCATGGATAACTCTTTATTCAAGTACCTCTTTCTCTCTTTTACTGTCTAAGACACACACACATATAGATACACACACACTGTCTCTCTCACATACACACAAACACAGATAGACACACACTTCCAAACATGCAGATTCAGGCTGTTGGATCGTCAGAGGATTTCTGTTATAAATACAAATTTCTAAAGCAGTCTCATCCTTGATGGCTGAGAGAAAAACTGCCTTTCTCTGTTCAGCAGCAAAAGTAACAAGGCAGGAGCCCAGCAATGGTCTAGTTTTCCTGGGAGCCTGTCTTCCCTTCCTCTGTCATATCCTAGATGATACCTTCCCGGTCATGTGCAAAACCTGACCCTACACAAATGCAGTCAATGTCCCAGTGCCATCGATTTCCTAAACTCCTCTTACTCTATGTCTATTTCCACTTATAAATTTCAACTATTTCTCCCTCCAGGATTTTAAGAAAACAAATTTCCTCTCTCTAAAGCATGATCTAATCATCTCACAATATATTTTGAGATGCCCAAGAAAA